CTAAGCAGGGTTTGGGGTGGGGCAGAGCCTGCAGGGGTAGACGCTATGCTGGCATGGTTTGAGGTGAGAGTGTGACCCTACATTGGTGGGGGCTGGGGAACATACACGGGGAAGGGCCCCAGGGGAATAGGGCTCCAAAGTGGCAAGGTTCAGGATGGGGCCAGAGTCTGGAGGGCTAAGCCTTGAATTCACAAGGTGTGGGAGTAAGGGGTATGTGTCACAGGGTTTGAAAAGTGGGGTGTAATTAGTAAGAATACAGAAGAGCTGTGACTGGAGGACCATTCCACTTGTTTGGTTTGGCTGCCAGGGTCTGTTGTTTGTCTGAGGAGGTCCCTCCCACTGTTTTGGTTCACTTTAAATGAGTGGCTGATGTGGTTGTCCTCCTTTGTTTTCCTACCCCTGCCTCCTTTCACCTGCTCAGCTTGTGAAGATAAGTGCCAGACTGTCACTCCCTCCATGGGTTTTTCTGTTTACTTTTGTCCTTGCTTCAAGAGTAAATTTTAAGACAATGCTGCCCCCACTGTCTGAGTTTCAGAACTTAGTCTATCCAATAATCCAATTCAAGTAAAAAGTCTCATACTTGGAAACTGCCATCCCAGAATAACGTGGCAAAGATTTTGGCTCAAAAACTAAATCTGATTGTTCAGGTTAACAGTAATTTGATCTTCTGCTAGTGCCACCTGCTTTTGCTGCTGAGCCATATCATGGTTTGTTTCTGGTTTCCAGTTGCCCATACTGCCTGTCAGCCAAGAGGGTTTCAGATTTTTCGTTTTGCAGACATATGATGTGCATTGCTGCTTACTCAGCTATAGAACTGTACTGAACCAGCAATAATAAGAGTAGCCTTATTTATGAATTTTTCCCATTTGAAACTTTACAGTGGTGTCTCTAAAATATTTAATTCCATAGATATTTTAATTAAAAATCTTATTGTACTTGGGTATAGGAATATAAAGGAGTAACCAGTTAATGCAATGCTTACCAGACAGCTAGTTACCAGCATGCTTACCATGGTAAGCAGCTCCCAGTCCAGCTGGAGCAGTTCCCCACATGTGGCACAATATGTTGTGCCCGGGTGGACACACCAAGCTGCAGGCAGGGACTGCTCTAGCCCATCTTGGTGCCAGTTAACCATTTACCCTGGTAAGCATTTTAAACTATTAACTACCCTGGTTAACACATTAAATGGGATGTTATATTGCTGCTAAGGTGGTGCATAGAGGTCACATGTGGGAGCAGGACTCTGTTGTGCTAAGTGTGATGGGTTGGATCACAGAAATCCCCTTGAGGTTCTTACCCAGTGTGCTGATCAAGCAACTGATGCCCACTTTCTTTCTCTCTGAGGCTCCCTATGCCCGTGTCCTGCTGGGCCAGATGATCTGCTCTCCCCTAGTCAAAGCACAGAGTTGGGGTTACTGCCTCCCAGCAGAGCAAAACATAGTGGCTACGTCTACACTGGCCCCTTTTCCGGAAGGGGCATGTAAATTTCAGCAGTCGTCGTAGGGAAATCCGCGGGGGATTTAAATATCCCCCGCGGCATTTAAATAAAAATGTCCGCCGCTTTTTTCCGGCTTTTAAAAAAGCCGGAAAAGAGCGTCTAGACTGGCCCCGATCCTCCGGAAAAAGTGCCCTTTTCCGGAGGCTCTTATTCCTACTTCAAAGTGGCCAGTGTAGACGTAGCCGCACTGAACCAGCTTAGCTCTGGGAGGACTTAGCTATAAGGTTCTTGACAACACCCAAGAGCCTAACCCCCAAAGGGACAAAAGCCCCAGATAAATCTGTCTTGCTCTGGATAAAAGTTTTACACAGAGAAAGCTTATAAATTCTCCCTCTTTATCAATGAGTGAGAGAGATGCACAATGGTTATTCCATCAGCCCTCCTGGTAAACAATTATTTCCACTGGGCTTGATAACAAACAAAAATGTTTTTATTAAGTATAAACAGTAGGATTTAGGTGGTTGCATGTGAAAAAAGATGAAAGTAAGTTGCTAAGCCAAAAGAAACAAACCCCACTGGTTAATTCTAATATGCTAAAAGAAGTGTTACATGCAGATTCTTAGCTCAACAGTAGTTCTAATTATCTCTTTCACAAACTAGGCAGCCTTCTGGCTTGGGCCCAATCCTTCCCTTTTTCAGTCTTAGATGTTTCCGGTAGGCATTTTAGGTGGTAAGTGGGGAGGTCTCTTGGCGTCTGGCAACTGCCCTATTGTTTGGTTTCCCCCCTTTACATTGCTTTTGCCCAAGGTGGGAATTCTTTGTGTTCAGTTCTAATTTTTCTCACCTTGAGTGGAAATGTATCAGATCCAAAATGGGTTCCAGTGTCTAGTGGCCTAACCACATGTCTTTGTAGGACCAACCATAGTTTGGGTTTGCTGGAAAAAACAAAACCATTCACAGGTTGTAGACTTGATCACCTACTCATTAAGTTCCAAAAGTATCACTAATAGCTTTTACTGGAATACCTGGACTAATAAAACAGGTTCCCAGTTAATATTTCTAGCTTTACATACAAGAAATATACTGAAAATTATTTACTAAGGCATCATGCTCACTGCATTCAGACTCCTCCTAAAGACTCAGATCTGCCGCAGAGCCTCAAAAAATAAAATAGTTCATATGTTAAATGAAGGCTTGAAAAAAATTGTTCATCAAGAAGTTTACATGAGTTCACTGAATCCTATATGATCTTATTTCTGTTACTTTACCCTGCACTACTCTACCCCCTCTAGATGGTAGTCACCTTCATATGTAATGTCAAGTCTATAGTTTCAATTGTAAACCCTTCAGAGCAAGGGCCCAACGACAACAGCACATATTAATGTTGTAATATTCACCTCATAGGCAAATGAACATGAGACACTGTGCCGGAATAAATTGCAATGATGTTTCTCTCTTGTATATTGTGTCTGGAATTAAAGGATGGATTCATCTGTGGCTGCCATTGGAGATGTACAAAGTGTGCTCTTGGCTATGCAGAAGAACTTGGAGTGTCCAATATGGTAGGTCAAGGAAATAATCTGGACTTCATACTATGCAGTAAAATTGCTTACTATTTTTTTTTTTGCCTTATAGTTAAATACAATTTACTCTACGCACATCTAGAAAAACACACTGAATAGTTGGGGTCATTTGGAAAATGCATATTTGTGTTATGTGAAGCCTAAGCTTGCTGTATCTCAGAAAGCTTATTGAGAAAATATTTGCATTTGCTCAGATCTAAGCATGAAGAGTTAAAAACAACACTTGGATACACGCAAGAAATGTGTGTGCTAACACATTCTGCCTTTATTAACAAGGAAGCATGAATCTCTCTTAACTATTCAATAGTGGGGGAAAAAACAAATTGATTGGATCCAAGCACTGCTTGTGAGAGAACCGAGAATCAGGCTGTTCATCTCTACACAAAGTCCATAGTCCTTTAAAACAAGCATGTTAAAATGTTAAGGGTCAGAATTAAAGCCAGGAAATTCAGAATTCTTGATGAGTTTAGGACAGACTCTTTAATTTCAAAGAACAACATATGTGGTAGATTTTGCATATAATAGTAAACAGTTCAAGGATGAAGGGTTTGAGTTGAATTTTAAAGAAGCTTAACATAATAGATTTTGCCCCAGTGACTAGAAATGACTTGACCTAACTGCAGTGGACATGATATAATGTGATCACTTCCATTGTAAAGCCATTATGACTAATCAAATGTCACTATACTGCCTCTTCTGGAGCATTTAAGGTGCAATGATGTTGGTGCGTCTTTGGTAAGTCTCTGAATCACTGCTTGATTTGTTATAATGACCGTATGTAGTGAACCATTTGAGAGTGGAAAAAACTAAAAGGTCATAATTGCACAGAGAAATTATAATCCAACACAGTTGTCAAGGTTTTGCTTCCAGGTTTGCCTGGTGCACATTTCCTACCCTATTCTGTACTTCATGGCTACGTCTAGACTGGCCCCTAAAAACGGAAAAGGGATGCAAATCAGGTAAATCAGCATAGGGAAATCCGCGGGGTAGGCCCTGAGGTAGGAATAAGAGATCCTTTGGAAAAGGGCTTTATTCCGGAGGATCGCGCCAGTCTAGATGCTTTTTTTCCGGCTTTTCCCCAAGCTGGAAAAAAAGCGGCGGACATGTTTATTTAAATCTGCGGGGGATATTTAAATCCCCCGCGGATTTCCCTATGCTGACTTACCTGATTTGCATCCCTTTTCCGTTTTTAGGGGCCAGTCTAGACGTAGCCCATGTGTGTTGGAAGCTCCGTACGTCAGAGTGGAATATCTTGTCTGAGGAGAGAGTTTTGCCCAATGTCACTTTACCTTCATGTTGTTGGGAGAACTCTAAGAAGCAATATGGATTTGATCCTTGAAACTAACAGCATATTTGCTAGATAATAAACCATGGAAAAATGCACTGTCTAACTTTAAGAACTACTAAGCCAGCGAAGCCATAGATGGCAATATTAAAAAATATTTCTGGGATTATACAATATTTATTAACCTTTCATGGTGGTAATTTTAAAGTGCACAAAAAGCTATGGATACTGTGTAGGTTGGGCCCACTTATTCCTCTTTTTCATGAGAATCAAAGTCATAAAAGTGTAATGTTCTTTATTATAGCAAATTATCGGTTTTAACAGGAGACTCATAAAAATTAAGGATGCAGGAGTGAGTGTTAATGCTGATACTGCTTTTTTGGCTACTGCAGTGGATTTTGATATTAGCAATTATTAGTTAGGCTGTTCTGCAGCAGAAACTGCTTTATTTGCTTTGACCAAGTGAAAGTCATTTTTATGTGGCCTTTTAATTGAAGCCATTGTAGTACTTGGCAAAGTTTGTGTTTTTTTCTTCTTTTATTCACTGAGGTTCATTGAGCTGAAATTCATTTCTGTGGCAGCTGTTGAAAGAAGCATGGTAGCAGTGAACGGAAAATACCTAGCTTGTTCTTACATGTTACTAATTTCTGAGATTCTGAATTATCTGCTCTCCTGATGCAGATAAAAGAACTGTGAAGCCCTTAAGGGCTTTGCAGCATAATTCATTCTGTTAACACCATGCTTGCCTAGCTGTAGGACGTTTTATCTAAACAAAAGGGAATTTTTCCTCATGTCGAAGGTAAGTCGTACTAGCTGACTTGAAAATGGCTAAAGCAAGGAAATGGTTCAAGTAAATCCCTCAGGAGTGTGTCTCAAAGCCGTAACAACAGAGGAGTCAGGACCAAAAGTGAGTTCATATTTTGAAGCCATCCCTTGCTTGTTTTAAGGAAAGCTGTAAGAGTTAAAATGCCTAAAGCCAAGTAATTTGTTGTATGTTTTGTTCTGCACCAGTTGCATATTGCTATGGTAATTCCTAACTCCATGCATTCGTTTTATTTATGTATCGAGACTAGCACGGGTTTGACTATTTTGACCTTGGCTGCCCATGCTCACAAGAAATGTACTAATTCACCTGGAGTGCCATATTTGAGGTCTGAAAGGTACAGGAAATGAAAAATAACTGCTTATGCTAAAAATCACAGATTGTAGAAAGGCTATCCCAGTGGAATTGTTTTTCTCTCTTTTTGGTTTTCTTTTCTTCTTACTCCTTCCCCTCTCTCCTGCTTAGAACCTTATTTTGTAATCTCTTCCTTCTAGTGATGATTGCTTGTATATGAGAATGAGAGAAAGAAGAGGTGGGTTAGTGTCAGGAGATATTTAAAGTCCTTACTTCCTGTTAAAACAGGGAATTTTTTTTTTTCAAACTATGGGTCGTGATCCAGTATTGGAATGTTAGGCACTGGGTCTCATTTCTTCAGCATGATCAGGTGATGAGTGGGGGGTGCTTAGGCAGACTGGTACCGCAGACTGCACTGTGCCCCAAAAGTGGTCAGCAGCAGGCCTGGCTCCTAGCTGGGGATGGGAGAGGAGAGCGCACAGGGCTCCATGCACTGTCTCTGCCCCGAGCACTTGCTCCACACTCCCATTGGCTGAGAACCTGCTGCTGGCTGCTTCTGGGGCACAGCCTGGTCTGCAGTGCCAGGAGATGCAGGAAGCCTGCCTGAGCACCCCCACTACACTGCTGACTGGGAGTAAGATAAGCCCCTTCTGCCCCAGCCCTGACCTCCCCACTAAAGCTGGAGCCCCCTCCTACAACCCAAAGCTCCCATCCTCAGCCCCACCCCGGAGCCCACACTCCAGTCAAATTCTGTTGGGTCGCGGCATCAACAATTTTCTTCAACTGGGTCATGAGAAAAAAAAGTTTGAAAACCTCAGTATTAAACATCCTGTGTATTGGGTTTTTGGATGGTATATGGGGTCCTTGACAACATTATTCCATGGTTGGGCAGGTCCTATCTTTATTAACCTTCACCAATCCCAAGGGCGGAGGTGGGTGGGAGGGGGAGAGAGAGAAAACATTAGGGATGTGAAAGGTTAACCAGTAAGCATCACCTTAAACAGGTCATGCTTACCAGTTCCGGTTAACCCTAGGGGCTGGAGCAGCTCCCCGCCTGTCCCAGGCAGGGAGCTGCTGCAGCCCTGCGCGGACCACCACAGGTAGGAACTGCTCCAGCCAACCAGGGTAATCCCTGTCCATGGCGGGCCTGGCTCAGCTCTCCCACTGTAGATTACACATTGGTTCCCTAGGGGCTGCCAGCCTGGCTCCCAGGGAGGCGGCTTCCCTGCAGCTAAGATTTTCAGCAGTTACACGGTTACCTTTTTAACTGACATTTTACATCCCTCATAACTGTTCATTATGAAACATGTCATCCTGAAAAATAAGATGCTGAACACAGTGCAATGACTTCAGCTGTTTTAGTAAACAGTGCGGCAGAGGAGATAATGTTTCTGTTAACCACTGTGTTTGTAAAGTTGCAAGGTAAACCATGAGAATGGTTTCAATCCTATTAGGGTTTTCTGTGTGCTGGAATATTCCTGTGTTCTGAGTTTGTCTTCAGGATGTCTGCCTGGTTTGGGTTATAATTACTGTGCTGGAATGTAATTATTCCAGTCCTGTGGAATTAAATGAGCATGTGGTATTCTAGCTAGAACTCTCTTCCCAATGATGTTGATTTTTGCTCTAGGTCAGGGTTTCCCAACCTATGGGTCAGGACCCAAGTATGGGTCGCCATTACATTTCAAAAGGGTCTTCAAGTGTCTCCCCAGGTGGCTCTGCCCCCTCTCCTCCTCCCGTTTTTGAATTGCCTTGGGTCACCAAGTCTTTCTGAATTGTCAAAATGGGTCCCCATCTGGAAAAAGTTAGGAACCGCTGTTCTAGGTGCTGTATCTAAAAAGCAATAGAGGGCTGTGTCTGTTTCAGAACACTGAGTTAATTTAGTCAAGACATGAGGACCATTATAACCATAGTGCACTTTTTAAGGCATTTCCAGCATGGTGCAGTCTCGATTATAGTTGCATAACGACCATTCAGTGCGCAGTTTAGGAGTGCATCTCTGTTCCTCACAAACTCTTAAGGTCTCAGATAGTAGCATCTGCAAGTCGTATGTTCTATTCTAGGAGATTGGTTCCCATCTCAGCAGGCTAAAGTATTGCTAATTGGAAATGAGGCTTTTGGCCCTCTGGAAACTACAATCAGTATTTAATGTGGCAACCCATCTCCCCAGCAACATGGGCTACACAAGAACTAAGAATCACCACACATCTCCCTCCACCTTCTGCTCTAAATGCAAGGGCCACAACTTTGACTTTGCTTTTTCTAATGTAAACACACAGCACAATGTCCTTATCTTAAACTGATATTAGGGATTGAAAAAACAACAAATAGTCTGGTAGCACTTTATAGACTAACAAAATATGTAGATGGGATCATGAGCTTTCGTGGGCACAGCCCACTTCTTCAGATGTTAATGGGTAACTGGTTGAATGGTCACTCGTAAACATCTTTAATGTGTGATCCTTACTGGGTAACAATTAACTGGTACTCAGGAGCAGCACCCCTGCCTGCGGCCCAACCGGGGACAGAAAAACTAATACTGTGCAATGGATTGCACAATTGGCAAAATCAGAGACCTTGCTTAGTGTTTCAACAAAAATTATGTTAAATATTTTGACTTGGCAAAAACTGCATTTTTTTTTCCTAGTTCAATAAAGTCTTTGCCTTTCTTCATGTATATTTTTGTTGTGTTGTTTTTTCAGATGTATAACTAAATATTTCTTTTTCCTCTTCCAGTTTGGAGTTGATAAAAGAGCCAGTCTCAACAAAATGTGACCACATATTTTGCAGGTGGGCCTTCAAATGTCTTTAGTCCACAGTGCTCTCTGTGTATACGCTCTCCCCTTTATACTAATGGAGTAGCCAGTTTTGTAAATTAATGGTTAGCTATTCCAAGATAAGAAAATCCATTTCAACTGAGAACTAGCTGCAGCTTCCTAGACCATTTCGGAAGCAATTTGTTTGATTTGGTTTAAACTCTGCAGGAATAATATAGGTGGTACTCTTGAGAACGACAGATTTGTACAGATATGGGGTTATCCTAGAAAAGTGGAACTTAGCTACATGGGTGCCAATTTTTAGAAAAATGATCCATTCTGTTAAAACATACCACCAGCATGATTTTTCCTCTTTTTTTCTTCTTTTTTTCTTTTTAATAGATTCTGTATGTTTAAACTTCTCAGCAAAAAGAAAAAAGGCCTGGCACAGTGTCCACTGTGTAAGACCGAGGTTACCAAAAGGTAATGTACACTGGGGACTGTGATGTTGGGTAGAGACAGGGCAGATGGAATTCTGAAACAGGAGATCAATTTTTATGCAAATGTCTTCACCAAAAAGGAACCAAAAATTGAAAAAGTAGAAAAATAGGAAGAATTGTCTCAGCTTTTTTTCTTTGACAATCTCCAAACCAGCTATATCGTTCAGAATCTACTCTCAGGAAATGTTTGAGTTATAAAACATGTCAGAATTGACCATTATGTAACCATCACAGGCTATTTAATGCTAAAGCTACATCAGAATAATTAAGTATAGATTTTTAAGGATAACCTGTATCACTTCTTGGTTTATTCGAGATGAACAGTGCTTTAATTACAGTAAAAATGGCTATTGCATCTTGGAGAATCAAGCCTCTGCTACTTGGGCCTTGTCTACTCTATGAGATAAGGTCAAATTTATTAAGGTCGATTTTTTTTTAGCACCCAATTTTGTAAAGTCGAAGGTAAATGTGCCCACGGTGCACAACACTTGGCACAGTGCATCCCAATTGGGATGCATATCATTGACTTTGACAATAATGCACATTGAGTAGCTATCCCACAGTTCCTGCTGCTCCTTTGCATTGTGGGTTATTCTCCCAGTGCCCTTTGGGATCAAGCAATGCAGCTGGTGATTCTGGATACATGTCATCAACACTAATCTCCTCCCTCCTGTTCTGCTTGAAAACAACACCGAACTATATTTTTGCACCCTTTTTTCCCTGGTTAGCCATGCAGACACCATAGCAGGGTAAGCATGCAACCCAGCATGGAATTCGTTGAGCAGCAAAATTCTACAGCAATCATAGTAAACATCTTGCGCCTTACGCTGCAGTGTGTCCAAGGCCTGCCATAACGGAGAAGAATCTCCAGAGGCCATGAACAGTCTCTTCTGTGAATCACTTGCGATAAGTGGTTGACAGATTATGGTGGCATTCGATCCTCTTGACATAGAATAACATTGGTTCTGGTGCTGTGAAACAAGCACAGACTAGGGATGTGAAAGTGTAAATGTTTATACACTAATGAATGACTAATGTCATTGGTTAACATGCACAGTGACACGCAGACCTATTCCCTCCTCCCCCACCCTTCTTCCTCTGTATCAGAGACAGCAGTGATGGGGAGGGGACATGTGGGAGCCAGTGCACATGGGGAACCAGCTTTTAAGTTTCCTCCATGCTGTGTGCGATCTTGGCATAGATATCCGAGTTACTTTTATCATAGAACCATAGAGCTGGAAAAGACCTCAGAAGGTCATCAAGTCCAGCCCCCTGCTCTAGGCAGGACCAATCCCAACTAAATCAACCCAGCCAGGGCTTTGTCAAGCCGAGACTTAAACACTGCTAGGGATGGAGACTCCACTACATCCCTAGGGAACCCATCCCAGTGCTTCACCACTCTCCTAGTGAAATAGTTTTTCCTAATATCCCACCTGGACCTCTCCCACCACAACGTGAGACCATTGCTCCTTGTTCTGCCATCTGTCCCTACTGAGTACAGCCTCTCTCCATCCTCTTTGGAACCTCCCTTCAGGAAGTTGAAGGCCCCCCCCACTCTTCGCTTCTGCAGACTAAACAGACCCAAGTCCCTCAGCCTCTCCTCATAGGTCATATGCTCCAACCCCCTAATCATTTTGGTTGCCCTCCGCTGGACCCTCTCCAATGTGCCCACATCCTTTATGTAGTGGGGGGCCGAAAACTGGGCACAATACTCCAGATGTGGCCTCACCAGAGCCGAATAAAGGAGAATAATAACATCTCTGGAGCTGCTGGCAATGCTCCTCTTAATGCAACCTAATATGACATTAGCCTTCTTGGCTACAAGGGCACACTGTTGACTCATATCCAGCTTCTCATCCACTGTAACCCTCAGGTCCTTTTCTGCAGAACTACTACTTAGCTGGTTGGTCCCCAGCCTGTAACAATGCTTGAGATTCTTCTGTCCCAAGTGCAGGACTCTGCACTTGTCCTTGTTGAACCTTATCAGATTTCTTTTGGCCCAATCCTCCAGTTTGTCTAAGTCACTCTGGACCCTATCTCTGCCCTCAAGCATATCTACCTCTCCCCCTATCTTAGTGTCATCCGCAAACTTGTTGAGGGTGCAATCCATCCCCTCATCCAGGTCTTTAATAAAGATATTGAACAAAACTGATCCCAGAACCAAACCTTGGGGCACTCTGCTAGAAACCGACCGCCATCCTGACATCGAACTGTTGATCACTACCTACTGGGCCCAGCCTTCTAGCCAGCTTTCTATCCATTTTACCATCCATTTATCCAATCCACATTCCCTTAACTTGCTGGCAAGAATATTGTGGGAGATTGTATCAAAAGCCTTGCTAAAAGTCAAGGTATATAACATCCACTGACTTTCCCATGTCCACAGAACCTCATCATAGAAGCTAATCAGATTGGTCAGGCATGACTTTCCCTTTGTGAATCCTTTTGCTGCTTTGTAGTTCTGCCTGAACAGATTCCTCTCCTCACAGAGCAATGAGGATCCAGGATCTCCTGCGTTCTCCCTGATGGTGCTTATTTGCGACCTTGGGCTTTCATGGTCAGGTGTGCTGCCTGCTCTGAAGTCTGCTCACCACTCTGGCCAAACAGGAAATGGAATTCAAAATTTTCTAGGGCTTTTCCTGCGCACCTAGAGAGCAGCACAGTTGAAAGTCCTGGCCAGAGCAGTCACACCAGGGCACTATGGGACATCTCTCTGAAGCTAAGAATGTCGACTTTACAGCATTGTCTCTGCACTACCCTCAAGTTGAACATGCAAAGTCAAATTTATTGTTACTCTTCATGAAAAGCAGCAGTACTGAAATCGACATTAACAGCCCTTTTAATGTCAATAGAATGGGCTTGGTGGTGTAGGCTCATAGTTTAGAAAATTGACGTTTTTATAAATGATCTGGAGAAAGGGCTGTGAGGTGGCAAAGTTTGCAGATGATACTAAACTGCTCAAGGTAGTTAAGACCAAAGCAGATTGTGAAGAATTTCAAAAAGATCTCACAAAACTAAGTGATTGGGCAAATGGCAAATGAAATTTAATGTTGATAAATGTAAAGTAATGCACATTGGAAAAAATAATCCCAACTATACATATAATACAATGGGGATTATTTTAGCTACAACTACTCAAGAGAGAGATCTTGGAGTCTTTGTGGATAGTTCTTTGAAAACATCCACTCAGTGTGCAGTGGCAGTCAAAAAAGCAAACAATGTTAGGAATCATTAACAAAATAATAGAGAATAAGACGGAGAATATTTTATTGCCTCCACATAAAACCGTGGTATGCCCACATCTTGAGTATTACATACGGATATGGTCATCTCATCTCAAAAAGATGCATTGGCACTGGAAAAAGTTTGGAAAAGGGCAACAAAAATGATGAGAGGTTTGGAACGGATTCCATATGAAGAGAGTTTAAAAAGACTTGGACTTTTTAGCTTAGAAAATAATAGATTGGGGGGGATATGAGAGATCTATAAAATCATGACTGGTGAATAAAGAAAAAGTGAATAAGGAAAAGTTATTTATTTATTCCCACAATATAAGAACTAGGGCTCAGCAAATGAAATTAATAGGCAGCAGGTTTAAAACAAACAAAAGGAAGTTTTTCTTCACGCAGCACATTGTTGAACTCCTTGCCAATGGATGTTGTGAAGACCAGGACTTTAACAGAGTTCAAAAAAGAGCTAGATAAATGCATGGAGGTTCGGTCCATCAAAGGCTATTAGCCAGGAATGGTGTCCCTAGCCTTTGTTTGTCTGGAAATGGGGAAAGGAGAGGATTGTGTGAGGATTGTGTTGTGTTCCCTCCCTCTCGGGCATCTGGCATTGGTCACTAGTATCCCTTTGCTCTGACCCAGTCTGGGCATTCTTACGTTCTTATGACTTAATGTGGTTGTTAGACCTAAACTCCTAATGGAGACCAGGCCTTAGAAACTGTTCTTAGCATGGCCTTATTTTCCACGTACCTGGTTGTACCCCCACAACTCCTTACTTCGCTCAGATTCCAAGGAAGCTATTGGTAATTTACCCATTGGTTATTTTTGTTTCAGAAGTCTTCAGGAAAATCCAAGATTTAAGCAACTAATTGAAGGGCTACTGGAAACCATCCATGCTTTTGAACTTGACACTGGAATCAAGTGTAGGTATTGCTTGTCTCCAAGGCCCTGCGCTTATGCAGTGAGCTTTTGGGCATTTGTGTCAAAATTATGCGTCCAATGCCATAGTCACTGTGTAAAACTCCATGGGTTGGGTTTTTCAGACGTGCCTCTTTATTTAAGGCTGTAAGGCACTCAAGCACGTCTGAAAAACCCAACCCATGACTTCACACACACAACAGTCCTTGCAATGACTACGATACTTGACCATATTTTCAGTCTTCTTCTGAGATGTCTGGACTCATGTTAGTGTGGGGGAAATCTCGCTCCCCTGGGGTACAGAGCCCCAGAAGGGTCCGAGGCTGGAAGTCAAATCAGTGAGGCAGGAGAGAAACCTAGAAGGAAAACTTTATTATGCATGCATGCAGGCTGACAGCAGAGCAATAGCAGTCAAGACAGCTCAGTTGTGGATTGTTTTTCTTTAACATATCAAAGTCTCAGCAGAAGTACTTTGAGACTTCTGTTCACCCCAGGAGTGCTAGAAGTAAGTTTTTACAGTACACAAAGCCACATGAGAACTTGAGTGGAGGAGTCTACAAGGCAAACTGTGACAAAGATAAGGGTTTACATGACAAATTGTGACAGACTAGGAGTATCCATGAATTTGAGATAGTCATTTGTAAGGGTCTTTGATTAGAGCTAATTTGATTTCTCTCTGTTACAGGGAGAGAGGCCTGGAAAACTTTTTAACCCTTACAGCAGTTTTCTTTTAGAGAGTTTTGATTTCTGCACAGTCCCCCCTTAGACACAATTGGAGTTATTTGATTTTTCTCCCACATTAGCTAATTTTAATTCTATAACCATATATTAAAAGTCTTATCCTCCTTCCTCTTTCCGCTGCCCCCAACTCTTCTTACTGTGCTTTTTAAATTTTTTAAATTAATTTTAACTAAACTGTGATACAAAGAATTATCTTAATGACTGAATTGAGGATCACTGCAGTAATTACATTTTAAATGTACAGATTCAATCATGTTCTGATATGAAACTATTTTTTCTAACACACTGAGTGATAGGCTTTTAGATGCTTATTTTTGGCTGGGGCTTTTTTGGGAAATGGGAAGGCATTTTGATAAATGGAGTTGGACAGTTCCCCTCAGATTTTTAATTGTTTTGCATAGTTTAAAAATTACATAGGTTGCAGCATCAGGGCCTACAGGTCCATGTGGTCAACTGATTTGCCTGGGCACATTGGTGTGTAAGATTGGGGCCACAGTAAATTAGTTTGTAAGGAATTTCTCATTAATCTAGGTTAGGGATAGTTCTACAGTGTAAAATTAATGCTAGTAATTTGTTCATTTCTAGTCATTAAACCAATAACTTTCTTTTGTGTGGCTTGGAACATTATGTACAAGATATAATTGGTTCATACAGGACCAGTTATACCATTGCACATGATGTATTCGCATCCAGTTGTTCATGGATACTTGATTTACTAGGAATTATATAAACAATCAATATTGTGAAACAAAACATGTATCCTATTTTTAGGAGACCGACAATCTTAATTTTTAACAAACAATGATTGTTATTTGTTATGGATTTATTTATTATCATCATTCTTAAAACCCCTAATCATGAACAGACACAGAACAAAAAGATGGTGCCAGTCCTAAAGAGCTTACAATAAAAAAATGTGTTGCTAACTTTTTGAAATTTGTTTTATCTGAATAAATATTCTTGTGGCTATTTTTGTTATGGGATATGAAAAAAAATTGTGTAAATATATCAGAAAGTCCTATTCTGACATTGACATTAGTAGAAAATATGCTTAGTTTTAACTAAGTCCATATTTTTAAGTCTCTTCATGACTGCCTAATAAATCTCTGGTCTGCTTTCCTCCTACCCTGTTGCTCTCTGTGTACCCTCTTCTCAGCAATGTTATTTTAATGTTGTCTCTTAATAATGACTCCATACCCTTTTTAAATGCTCATTCCTATTTCTGGATCAGCCTGCCCTATCAGGTGCTCCCCATATTTTAAATTAACTATCTGAACATAGCAGTTCAAGTGCTTACAATCCAAAATCACCATATATAAAACACTGGGTAAAATAAAAATAATTTTGTAATTTTTTATGGGTAAAAACACAGCTACTTTGCCATTTGATTGCACCATCAAATCAAATAGTCAGGTGTCTAAATGCTAGTATTTGCATCCACAATCAATTATTCCTGTAATTTTGTGCCAATAATTGCATTGGTTCCTGAATTAGAGTTACTGTGATGCGGCGTATAGTTGCTGGTGAGAATTTGCTTCAGGTTGGCAGGTTGTCTTTGGGCGGGGACTGGCCTGCCTCCCAAAGCCTGTGAAAGGGAGGGATCATTGTCCAGGATGGGTTGTAGATCACTGATGATGCATTGGAAAGGTTTTAGCTGAAGACTGTAGATGGCCAGTGGTGTTCTGTTGGTTTCTTTTGTGGGCTTGTCTTGTAGTAGGAGGCTTCTGGGTACATGTCTGGCTCTGTTAATCTGTTTCCTCACTTCCTCGTGCGGGTATCGTAGTTTCCAGAATGCTTGGTGAAGACCTTGTAGGTGTTGGTCTCTGTCTGAGGGGTTGGAGCAGATGTGATTGTACCTTAGTGCTTGGCTGTAAACAATGGATCGTGTGGTGTGTCCAGGATGGAAGCTGGAGGCATGAAGGTAGGCATAGCAGTTGGTAGGTTTTTGGTATAGGGTGGTGTTTATGTGACCGTCACTTATTTGTATTGCAGTGTCCAGGAAGTGGATCTCTTGTGTAGACTGGTCCAGGCTGAGGTTGATGGTGGGGTGGAAGCTGTTGAAATCGTGGTGAAATTCTTCCAGAGTCTCCTAGTCATGGGTTCCAGATGATGACGATGTCATCAATGTAGCATAGGTGGAGAAGGGGCGTTAGTGGACGAGAGCTGAGGAAGCATTGTTCCAGGTCAGCCATAAATATGTTGGCATATTGTGGGGCCATGTGGGTGCCCATAGCCACTGGTTTAGAGGTGTATATATTGTCACCAAATCTGAAATAGTTGTGTGTGAGGATAAAGTCACAGACCTCAGCCACCAGTTGTGCTGTGGCATCATCAGGGATACTGTTCTTGACAACTTGTATTCCATCTATGTGTAGGATGTTTGTGTAGAGAGCCTCTACATCCATGGTAGCTAGGATGGTGTTTTCTGGAAGATCACCAATGCATTGTAGTTTTCTCAGGAAATCAGTGGTGTCACGGAGATAGCTGGGAGTGCTGGTGGTGTAGGGTCTGAGTAGAGAGTCCACATATCCAGACAGTCCTTCAGTAAGTGCCAATGCCCGAGATGATGGGGCATCCAGGATTTCCAGGTTTGTGGCTCTTTGGTAGTAGATAGAATAACCCGAGTCGGGTCTCTAAGGGTGTGTTGATTTGTTCTTGTGCTTGTGTAGGGAGTGTCCTGAGCGGATGGGGCAGTTTATTAGTGTATTACTTAGTGGGATCTGAGGAAAGTGGCCTGTAGAATTTGGTATTGGAGAGTTGTCTGGCAGCCTCCTTTTGGTACTCAGACCTGTTCATGATGATAACAGCACCTCCTTTATCAGCCTCTTTGATTATAATGTCAGAGTTGTTTCCGAGGCTGTGGATGGCATTGTGTTCTGCACAACTGAGGTTATGAGGCAAGCGATGCTCTTTTTCCACAATTTCTGCACGTGCACTTCGGAGGAAGCATTATATACAGGGCTCGACAAATAATACAGTCTACTCGCCCGTGGCTACTCACAGGCTACTCACCTGAAAGCCGCAGAACGATCTGTGCATGCTCAGATCGCCAAACAGTGCGGCTGGCGAGCAGGGCTCGCCACATTTCGGCGAGCCCTGAATATATTTTTATATATATACATATA